ATTTGGTATGAGCATGGTTTGTTTTTAAATTCATTGGGAATATTTTTAGTTCACTGCTTGAACACACCTCTGAACATTTGATATAGGCTATGAGACAAAATGTGTTTTTACAAAGTTAGGGGAACACCTCCTAGCCAACTTATTTTATAACCTGTGATCATCGCCACAACCCATATATGTGACACTGGACCACAAAACCAGTCATAAGGGTCAATTTTTTTGAAATACAACTACCGGTATATTGAATATCTGGAATCTGAGGGTGCAAAAAAAAAAAAGAGAGAGAAAATTGCCTTAAAAGTTGTCCTTTCTTCTTAGCAATGCATATTACTAATCAGAAAAATAAGTTTTGATATATTTAAGGTAGGAAATTTACAAAATATCTTAATGGAACATGATCTTTACGTAATATCCTAATGATTTTTGGCATTTAAAAATGGATAATTTTGACAAATACAATGCATTGTTGTCTACTTATGAATGGTTTTGTGGTCCAGGATCACATATTGCCCACACAGCTAACCAGGGGCATTTTTAGGATTGTAATATTAAGGGGGCTCAGCCCCCAATTGGTGGGGTGGGGGGATATTATTATATTATATTATATTATATTATATTATATTATATTATATTATATATTTATTAAGATATGTCAGTTTAAATTTGTATTCAGTTAAGACAGCTCAAACATGCATTTTAGTCTGGGACTAGGCTTAAACCTTGGTTTAAGGTCTGTGAAACTGGGCATTAATATATTGTTTGTATACTAAAATAAGCAGAAACATTGGCCTGCTTAACAGTAGGTGCATGCTCATCAAGTCAGCCCCTGAATAATTTAATTTGAAATCATTTTAAATAATCAGATCATATTCATTCATATTAATTTAGAATATAGACAAACCTAGATTACAGTAATTGTCTAGATTAGCATAATGTTTGATGTGCCCCGTATTAAACTATTCCCTTTTTTTTTCGTTTTAAAATAATAATAATAACAGCACTTAGTCACTTTGCCACTTAAAAAATGACAACACAAATCCTTTTTTTCTAAGGCTAATAAAGCTCCCCTAAAAAGGGCCTATAGCGACGCCCCTGCAGCTAACAAATGTTTGGAAAAAAAATAATAGGCCCAGTAAGCTACATTTACTAACTCTAAACTAACAAACCGTTACCACCAGAACGTTACGTGGAAACGTTACTTTAAGGCTGTTAAAAATACTAAAAATATGTTTTGGTTACTGTAGGTCTTTTAATTTCCAAATGCTTCATAGATGATGCTTTCATAATGTATGCTAGTATAAAAAAGTAACGCTGATGATTAACAGGCTACTGATATTATATTATATTATATTATATTATATATTTATTAAGATATGTCAGTTTAAATTTGTATTCAGTTAAGACAGCTCAAACATGCATTTTAGTCTGGGACTAGGCTTAAACCTTGGTTTAAGGTCTGTGAAACTGGGCATTAATATATTGTTTGTATACTAAAATAAGCAGAAACATTGGCCTGCTTAACAGTAGGTGCATGCTCATCAAGTCAGCCCCTGAATAATTTAATTTGAAATCATTTTAAATAATCAGATCATATTCATTCATATTAATTTAGAATATAGACAAACCTAGATTACAGTAATTGTCTAGATTAGCATAATGTTTGATGTGCCCCGTATTAAACTATTCCCTTTTTTTTTCGTTTTAAAATAATAATAATAACAGCACTTAGTCACTTTGCCACTTAAAAAATGACAACACAAATCCTTTTTTTCTAAGGCTAATAAAGCTCCCCTAAAAAGGGCCTATAGCGACGCCCCTGCAGCTAACAAATGTTTGGAAAAAAAATAATAGGCCCAGTAAGCTACATTTACTAACTCTAAACTAACAAACCGTTACCACCAGAACGTTACGTGGAAACGTTACTTTAAGGCTGTTAAAAATACTAAAAATATGTTTTGGTTACTGTAGGTCTTTTAATTTCCAAATGCTTCATAGATGATGCTTTCATAATGTATGCTAGTATAAAAAAGTAACGCTGATGATTAACAGGCTACTGATTGTTGAATTCTAATTAGATGTAACGTCACTGGATTTAACGACTAATTACTTTTTATTAGAATTTTTTTTTTTTTAGGTCTGGTCTGATATAGGCTACGGATTATACAGAAGCTTGTGCCTTTGATCAGCTTCTTTCTTCGCTGGTTTGAGATTTGTATGTTAATCTGCCCTCTAGTGGACACAATACAATACTACAGGAGTTCAAACTGATGTTGACAATACTAAATAGTCCACCCGGGGACTAAATTAAGTAAACCTGGTTTATTTGGTAAACTTGTTTTATGAAACAGGCCCCCTGTCATTGTTCATTATGACTTAATGGAAAAGAGACAACATGAGATAAAATCATATTAAATGATATTCAATTGTATTAAAGTTATTAAATTAAATGTAATATATTAAAAAAAATTATAGAATTATATACACAACTAGGGGTGTGCGATATTGACAAAAAATAATATCTCGATATTTTCTGGGATTTTATCAATGACGATAATTAGACGATATTTTGCTGAGTGTGTTATTGTGCTGGTACCTTAAGGACTGCCGAAGACAGCTGACTCATAATGTTTTTAATATTCTTCATGCAGTGAAAGAAAACACACTAAATGTGCACATGCACTAGTCTAGACTTCACGTAATGTATGCGTGCGCTCTGTAGGGATGTTTTGAATGGTTTTTGCAAAATACTCAATAATGTCAAATCGCACATCGTTAAAACAACAATTACGATATTATCGCAGACGATATATATCGCACACCCCTATACACAACTGTTCAAAAGTTTGGGGTTGGTAAACTTTTTTCATGTTTTTGAAAGAAGTCTCTTATGCTCAACAAGGATGCATTTATTTGATAAAAAAAAATACAGTTAAAACTGTAATATTGTGAAATATTATTACAATTTAAAAGAACTGTTTTCTATTTGAATTTATTTTAAAATGTAATTCATTCCTGTGACAAAGCTGAAGAATTTTCAGGAGCCATTACTCCAGTTTTCAGTGTCACATAATCCTTTAAAAATCATTTGGTCCTCAAGAAAGATTTCTTATTATCAATAACAGTTGTGTTGCTTATTTATTAATATTTTGATATTTTTCCCAGGATTCTTTGATGCATAGAAAGTTTAAAAGAACAGCATTAATCTTTTGTAATATTATAAATGCCCTTATTGTCACCTTTGATCATTTTAATCCATCCTTGCTGAATAAAAGTACTAATTTGGTTAATTTCTTATAAAAAAAAAAAAACCTCAGACATTTTAAAGATAGATTAAATAAATTATGAAGAATATTGATACGTCAGTCTGGGGCTAGTTGTCATTAGGGGGCATTTCAACTATAGGACAATAGGACAGAGTTTGTTTTATAATTGTTTTTATTATTATTTACAAAATATAATAACAGGGACAATAAATCAATATAACAGGAGCAGTAATACATAAATTGCTTAGAAAAAAAAGCCAAGGCAGTGTTTGTCTCCCTTTCGTATCTTCTGAACCTTGTTTAAACTATAGACAAAACTTAAAGCCGACTAAACAATTAGAAAACACACTGAAGCATACAGGGATATGGATGATGATGATACATGATGCTTTCAATTCATAACTAACAGAAGTCCATTCACAAATGAGGTACTACACTAGATTTGACGTTGCCAGTTTCTCTGGGTAGCAAAGGATTGTGGTTAGTACAATGGGTGTGGCTTCACGCAAATACAACAGATGCATAAACTGGCTGCAAAACCTGAGAAACTTCATGCAGTGAATCTGCCACTTACATCAGGATTACATTTGCTGGCGAAGCTTATGTGGAGCGTATATTCATAAACCGTTCAAAAACCCTCTTCAACACTTAGTACTGAAGTACTGACGGACCAGACCGAGAGGGAAACAAACGATCAGAGCCCCTGAGGAACTTTTTTTTTTATTGCACAAAGAGAACCTACGACGGGAAGCTAGAATATCGCAACAAACAACAGGACGAAGCGACTGCATTAATAGTTCACTTGATGATATTGTCTTTGCAAGTAAATCATTTTATGCTTTAAAGAAATAGTTCACCCAAAAATGAAAACTTGCTGAAAGTATACACATCCTCACCCTCAGTTTGTTCCTTCATTGGAACAGGTTTGGAGAAATTTAGCATTACATAACTTGCTCACCAGTGGGTCCTCTGCTGTGAATGGGTGCCGTCAGAATGAGAGGTCAAACAGCTGATAAAAACATCACAATAATCCACACGACTCTTATCAGTCTATCAATTAATGTCTTCAGAAGCAAAAAGCTGTGTTTTTAAGAAACAAATCCATCATTAACATGTTTTTAACTTCAAACCATGGCTAAAATATGATTCTTTCATCCATATATTGCTTTCTTTAGTGTAAAAGTCATCTTGTATGAATCAGGAGTGAAATATGCACAGATCATGCACTATTTACAACGGTGAGTTTTGATGTGAGAGGACAACAGGGAATGGACTTTTTCACTGGAGGAAGCATTATTATGGATTATTGGTATTTTGTCCAGACAGTTTAAAGTTAAAATGTCTTAATTATTTACTTCTTACAAACACACAGCTTTTCACTTTAGAAGACATTAACTGATGTACTGGAGTGATGTTTTTATCAGATGTTTGGACTCTTATTCTGATGGCACCCATTCACTGCAGAGCATCCATTGGTGAGCAAATGATACGATGCTAAATTTCTCCAAATCTGATGAAGAAACAAACTCATCTACGTCTAGGATGGCCTGAGGCTGAGTACATTTTTAGCATATTTTCATGGATCATGGGTGAACTATTCTTTTAACAAAAAGAATTAAGTGATTTCAAAAAATGTAAGATTTGAACGTTTATAAGAACTACATGCAATGAAAGGAGCAATTAACTGTACAAGCAGTAAATTACTGAACAGTTACTAAAAATTGTAAGAGATGTACACCCTCTCAAATTTCCAAAGAAGCTTAAAATTAGGTAGATAAAAACACTTTCATTGCATGTAGTAGTCTGACAGAGACACCCAGCTTCCTAAAACACCCAATTACTAGTTTAATAGTTTAAAAGACAACACCGATTAAATATTATGAACACATTCTTGATTAAAAGGATTGTTTACCAAAAATGTTAATTCTATCATCATTTACTCACGCTCATGTCGTTCCAAACCTGTATGCACTACTTTCTTCAGTATTTAAGTCAATGGGGAAAATTTTCAAGAGCTGAAGGTAGCAGCTTTATGCATTTTTTTGGAGCTAGCAAGTTTTGGACCCTGTTAGATTTCATTGTATGGATAAAATCACCTTTAAAATATCTTCTTTTGTGTTCCACAGAAGAAAATTTAAAGCGTTTGAAATGAGATAAAGGTGAGTAAATGATGACAAAACATTCATTTTTGGTTGAACTATCTTCTTACGTAGCCTGAAAAGCAACAACTGACTGCAATTTCCAGGTGAATGAGTCGTCACGTTTGCTTAGATCTGGAATGTTTTCCTTCGGTGTATGGGTGAGTCGCTGTGTTGGATGGGTGCGGAGCTGATGGACGAAGGTGTGCACAAGGGGCTACCAATTATCCCAAAATCTGGGATGGGTGGGACAGGCGAGGAAGGTGAAGAAAAGTCAATTTGAAGCCTTCTTAAGGCAACATTCTCTGAGCAAGCAGGTGCAGGATCTTCAGGAAAATACCCCAGTTGTAGCTGGTAAAAACCTGCTCCAAGGAGTCCTGAGTCTGGCTGAGAAGAAGGGACGGAGTGGCTACAAGGAAGAGAGGAGAAGTAAAGCTGGGTGGACGGGGAGGCCACGTCTGACGTCTGGAGTGCTGGTGGGAGAAGCGAAAATTGGCTGAACGACTGCTGCCCTTGTGGGCTAGAGCAAGATCCTGCACATAGTTCCATCTCTCCACTGTTTCGCTCAGAACCTGGAAGAAAGAACAGGCATAAAGAAAATGTGCTTGAGTATTTGAGGGAAAACAGAAAAACAAAAAAATGTATGAGTTTCTGTTGTACTTTGGCAAGAACTTTTTAAAGGAGCTCCACTCTGTTAATTATTGTAGTATTGGGTCATAACGGTTATGCAGTATTAGATTGAACAAATATGCTTTGGTCAAATTCAGACACTTTGACGTAATTATTTTCACAATGGTAAGAAAATATAACCTGTATTTATTCATAACTATCTTTAGAATTTTTGATTCAATACTAGTGATATTATTAACTATAACTACTAAAAATAATTTTCGTTAATTGATATAAAGCTAGGGTAAGTTATAAATAGTACAGATGGAAAAACTTGAAATTTAAAAAAAGTATTACATTAAAGGGGTCATATGATGCAATTTCAAGTTTTCCTTTCTCTTTGGAGTGTTACACGTTGAAGTACTAAAATTGTTAAGTCTAAAACTAATACAATGATAAAAGCACAACAAAATAAAACTGAAAACTGAAAATATAAAAATAAAAATGGTTTCAAATATTATACAATTCTATATTAGTAAATAATACTAATAATACTATAAATAATAATAAAAAAAACACTATTCTAAACAAATAGCAAAAGTTAGTTTTTTTTTAACCATATTGTGAAATTCTGATATACACATTTCTGCAACAGGGTGGGATTTTTTAAGGCAAGTAACATGATGGAACAAGATATTGAGGACACAGGAAAACATATAAAACAATTACAAATTACAAAATTCTCCCCAAAAATGTGTGTAGATCATTATGGTTATATAAAGGAAAAAATTACTATTTCTTGACATCCTTTCAGGAATACGTCTTAATAAACTGCAAATGTTTATATTAGATGTTATTACCTCACCGAAAAACAGCAAAAATGGCAATCTTAACCCAAACCAAAGTAGTAGAATTATTTTAAAATTACCTCTATACTACTTGTGATAAAATATAGCTATTATGATTTCAATATTGAAAGTTTTATTAGTTTAATATATATATATATATATATATATATATATTTATTTATTTACTTAATATATATATATATACACAATCAGTTTAATATTTCATTCACTATATGAAGACACAAATGATGATGGGCATGAAAATGTACTGCATAACAGGCATGATCCATTTCCTGGCACATCTATATTTCTGTTTGTACCTGTTTGTCTGTCAGTTTTAGGCTGTCAGTGAGCAGGAAGCTCAGGGCTTTAATAGGAAGCGCGGCGTGCGTTTCCGTCGTGGACGATCATGAAACTGAGCTGCGCAATTCAGACTGTCCTCTGGATCGTACGACCAAATGAAAGGCAACAAAACATAAAAGAACACAAACACAATGGGAAAAATGTGGTAGATGGAAAACAACAATGAAACAAATCATAACGCATTGACCATCCATCCCAAAATCAAGAAAAAAATGCATTTATGTTGGACATAAACAAATGAACATAAATGAAGAAGCTGGTACCAATGGATGGTTTTATGTTTATGTTTAATGAGCTCATATGCATGCGGAAGGCTAAGTATAATATCAAAGAACTAGTAAAGTGCACCTTGTTTATCCAGCTCCATGACTGCAGGTGGCGATGGAGGTTGGAGTTGAATGGAAGACCTACTTAGCAAACCTTGAGTGGCACCTTCCACATCACCAGTATCTCCATCTGGCTCAGCATCCTCTCTAAGAGACATATTTAAGTATCATCAGATCATTATTTTAAAAAAGGTACATTTTGTCTTCAAATTTGTCCTCGTTCATTTAGTTTATCATGCCAAGAAATAAAAGCCTCCACAATTTGTAAAATTGTAAAAAAGTTCAACCAAAAATGAAAATTTCCTGAAGATTTTCTCACCCTCAGGGCATTCAAGATGCCAGAACAGATTTGGAGAAATTTAGCATTACATCACTTGCTCACCAGTGGATCCTCTGCAGTGAATGGGTGCCGTCAGA